CCAGGTCTTTAAATAGGACTTTCATTTTGGTTTTTAAGATATAGGGCTTATTAGCTTATGTGTTCTTTCTTAATTGAGCTTTTGTAATTTCTCTCTTTCGGGGAATTTACCAACTTCATCTGAATTGTCAAATTTATTTACATAATGTTCACAATATTACTTTGTCATTCTTTTAATATCTGCAGAGCTTAGAAGAATGTCTTCCACCAAATAGATGCTCAGTACCAACTGTTCGATGTATGGATGAGTGAATGCGAAATGCACAGTCTTTCATACACAAAAATTACTCATTCATTTTACTTCTATTTGTGTTTTCTTCCTTATGCAGATTATGTTACCTTATTGAAAATTCAGAATGCAGTTCATTCATTCAGAAGCTTAATAGAATGTAAAGAATCTGACTGTGAACTGCTTAGAGGAACAGTTAAAAAAATGGAAAATAAGGTAAACAAGCTACAAAAAGAGCTTTTGGAAGCAAGAGAAATGAATTCACAGTTAGAACGTCAAAATGTGGCATGGGAACGAGAGCTCTGCAGTATGAGGTACTGAATTTCTTGGTTTTAAAGAAATATTTGAACTCTTTATATTTAATACTGTAGATATGCAGGAGAAGTCTTATAATTGCTCACTGACCGTTTGGGGTTTTACAGGGGAGAAAATTTCATTACTATTGTGGAATATGAGACTCTTGGAAATAACACAGCAATATATATATATAAAATCTCCTCATTCTATATTTCTTTAAAAAAAGATCTTTGATCCTTATCTCCGAATTGTCCTCCAGGAAGTTTATAGTACTTTACATTCCCACTTGCAGAGTTATGAAATGAACAATTGTCTCAAGGCAGAAACTTAAAAAAAATTATGCAGTTTTATTATTGATAGATGAAAACAGGGACTAAACAGTAAAGTGGAAAATGATTACTGTTAGGTTTCTTCAGCATCTCTCTCATGCAGAGATAAGATCAGTTCAAAGGTCTATGCTGAAAACACGGATTACTCTGTATTGTTTAGTTACTTACTATGGATCCTGCCTTGTTTCAAAAGGGATTTAAAAATGATTTACTAAATAAATAATAGTCAAATAGGTAAGTTCAAAGTGTTACAAAAGAAGAAACACAAAGTGTAGGGCATCAGCTAGTAGACTCCCCAGCCTCGCCTTGC